CGACTGCAGAAAACGAAGCAAAAAATAAGCTTCTGAAAATCAAGAAACATAGCACAGGGATTGGACTAGATGATCTCCCAAAGTCCCTTCCAACCCTTGCGATTCTGTGATACCATCCTCACATTAAGCAAGACAGAAGGCACGTGTGAGAGTACATTTTCTACATACCTATTGAACTGTTAAGCAAGAAAAAAAACCAAACATTTTTCAGATAATACCTTCTAAAACTGTAAATGGCACAGCAGGCTGGAAAGGAAGGGTTTGACAGGAGTATTAGAACGTTCTCTCTGTGCTGGAAGCAACTGCTGCATTTCACCTAAGACTCTAAAGCACTTGCATAGTACTAGCACCCCAGCAAAGAACCTGAGATTTAAGGAAGCTGGTCTTAAAACCTTACTTCAGCCAGCAATCTGTCAGATCACTTTTCATCAGCATTCAACATGGCTTCACTTTTGCGCTGTAGTTTCCTCTAACCCAAAGCAGCAATAAAATTTGCCTCCTCTGCAGGAACTCAGGACCTCCCATTGAAGCTAAGATTCAAGTGTTAAGTAATGTTCCACAAATAGTTATTACATCAGCTTGATTTTGATACTGTAATGTAACTACTACTATTAACGTCAACAAAAATGTTATCATTTCAAAAAGAAAGTTTGTGAAGTTATCAATCAGGAAGTTGTCTGACACTGTATCAAACCCTTCCACAGTACTGAGATGAGTACACAAGCATCTGGAAGGAAAAAAAATAGAGGTATGCTGTTATAGATGCATCTTTTAGCTGCCCCCTTCCTCCCAACTACAAATAGTCTTTGCCAGGGCATGCATGAACCCTATATTCCCGATGCAAAGCTAAATGAGTGAAAGCTAGAGGTGCTGAGGCTGATGGAAGGCACCTATCTCTTCATCCTCCTGCAAATACTGGAAGAAAAAAAGGTGCAGTTATGAGTGATCTCATATGCCTCAGTTCAGCATCGCATCGTGCAGATGGTGTCAGTGGTAGAACAGGGAAACTGCCAGCAATGAGATGAGATACAGCGGTGCTCTGCGGGTTCAGCAACGGGCAAGCGAAAGCACAGTGCGAGATGGAGACTTCTGGGGAAG